CAGTGCTGGGTAAAATAGGGACAAACCCAGCAATTGGGCTGTTTTGAAATCCCTATCCCTGATAGGGTCCCTATTTTACCCAGCACTGGGTTGTATTTAACCCAGCATTTTTTTTTTAGAGTGTAGAAGCAATCAACCAATAACTCTGGCTTCTGTCTGTAAAGTTCGGTTATATTCTCTGTCTTTGATTTCGTTGACATGTAACCCGACTTTTCTTTCATACACTCCTGTTGAATGTCCATAAAGTATTACTTTCAGAAGCTGTGGGGTCTTTTTCCTGAATCCCGGAAAAGGGTTTTTGTGTTCGAAGATCTGGTTTGTTTGTCCAAAAATGGCAGCTTGTTTGTTTACCTCCGTGCCATCATGTATAACGAATGTACGGAGAAAATCGCTTCGAGCAGAGCTTTGAAATAAACGCAGAAAGATCTGACTGTGTTCCGTGAAGAAACGCGCTTATATTCACACTGTTCTTGGTATTTTCTTGAGGTGCTCCATTAAACGCGTTCTCCTGGTGATGTGAAGCCGGGAACGAGAACCACAGAACACCATTTTGAGTGTTTCTGGTCTAATTCAGCCGTCTTAACCCGTTTCTATCATTGGTTCTGGTACCGACTCTCCTCAAACCGTAACCGCAAACCGCACAAATTACACCAAGCCTCTTTTTCTCGTACTAAATTAATGCTTTGTTTCATTATTTTGACTTATTTGTTATGCTGAAGAAATAATAATATATATATATATATATGTAATTGTGGAGGAACGTGCTTTCTGCAGGTTTTAAAAGGTCTGAAGTTCATGGCATTAGATGTTGCATGCACTGCAAAAAAATAGATTTATAGAGTTAAATAGATTTTTTTTTAGATTTTTTTTCAAATGTACTGACGGGTATTTGTTCTTGTTTTAATCATAAACTCACTTCATTTTGATCAGTTTCTCAGAAAACGAGACTTCATGTCATTTGATTTCTCCAGTAAATGTTGATTTATGAATCTTTAGACATTCGGACTGGAAACACTGAGGAAAAGCAGCACTGTTTTGCAGTACAATCCAACTTATTTCCCTTTCATTTTGTTTTTAAATTTTTCTTTATTTGGTGTTAAAAGTCTCAAACCTGCAGAAACTGGAAGCACGTGCAGAACGTCACGGATTTTCAGTGTCCGTGTGTTTGTCTGTTTTCATCTGAATTAGTGATGAGTCTTTGGTTTCAGGGTCGAGTGACCTGCTGTTTCCCTCAGTTTTCACTCGGGAGCGATGAAAGAATGTTAAAGTTCATCATGGATCTGTGACGTTCTGGTGATATTGTGAAGTCAATATCATGATGGGTGTAGAAAGAGATTAATTTAAGAGATTTTGTCAGTTCTGCTCGAGTGTTTTACAATATATTTGAAAAACAAACATCTCTGTTCAATTAAATTGTTTCCTGGCACACATCAGCAACTTTCATACCTCATTTTAAAATTTTTAATGCATATCTGTGGCTAATGAATCTCAAGAAAACATGCTCAGCTCACATTTAATCCCTTAAAAGAAAAACAAAATAAATGATATTTCACTTAATGAAAATTAAGCTAATTAGCATAAATATTATTAAATACAAATTAAATAGTTTCACTCACAGTAATTAAATATTACATATTAATTCTAAAATATAAATTATTAATTTATTTAAAAAATAATGCAGTACAACAAATATTAACCAAGATGTATAAATACTTTTAAATTAGAGTTGGGGTTTATTTATTAATTTATTTATTTAGCTTTTTTTAATTCATTATTCACTGAAAAAAATTGATGGTGAAATCATTTTCACTCAGAAATTGCTAGTGAATTTTACCAAAATGTCAAAGAATCAGCAAGTCAATTATTGCAACAAGTAAGTTAAATGTAAAATAAAGTAAAAACGTGTATTATATACGCCGATAATCTTTATTTTAATACAATACTTTGAAAAATCATTTTTGCATATACAATAGGCCTATAGTATATTTTGCATATACTATAACATTTCTGAACGATGGTTAAAATGTTGCAGAGCCTAATTTAGACAGAATAGTGCTTCAAGTTGCCATAAAATTAAAACTTTGTTATAGAATATTGCAGTGTTTATTATTATAAAGGATTTATCCATGCACATCATTTTTTCCTAATTTGATTATATATTAAAGGAGACATATTATGCCCCTTTTTACAATATGTAATATAAGTCTCTGGTGTCCCCAGAATGTGTC